CTCTTACTTCGGAACGGTATATGGATTTGGATTCAAGAATATATAGGCGACCACTAAATCTATGGCCATGTCTTCAAAATAATAGGACACCATCTGTGATGAAACCCATCGTTTGGCTAATCGACAGGTGAGACCAAAACAAAGATGCCTTCGACTCAACGCGTTTAAAGCGCTATTAATTTTTGGCATCACTTCATACACTGTCTCTAAATTGTCGGCCACTGGACTCTCAATTCGTTTGACGAGTCCATCGCTTGTCGTGATTTGTCTCAACAAAACTATCTCTTTATGGGAACCAATGATTACGCGAAATACAAAACCGTCATCAAAGACATCGACGTAATCGGTATTCGCATAACAAACGCATCCGAATTGTTTCGACAACTTTTTACTCAACTCGATATGAAATGAAGCCTTAACTCTGCGGAAGGCGTCCAACACATCCGGCCATTTGCCACTGCCTTCCAATTGGATCACTATTTTCAATGGTTTGAAATATTTGGGTACTCTTTGATCGACCAATAGATCAAATGAATTGCAATTATTGGTCACATTGAATGACTTTCCACTATTCATAGCCAATGGCGGGAATACCTGGTTATTAAACAATATTTTATGGCATCACTTCCAATACAAACTCAATTTACTTACATCTGTGCCGCGAAATACGGCATCAATTGTGTGGACATTAGTTATGGTGAGCGGAAGTTCTTCTAAGGACCGCAACTTTTTGGCCAAAGCATCGAACTTATGAGACAATGATATAGAAAACTCTTCGGCCGTACCGTAAACCACAGATTTGTCCTCAAACTTTAAGTTCGAGAGTTCCACCATTGGATCCAATAGTGATACTGTTGTGGTAAAAGATTCCGATGGGATCTCTAAAATGTTTGTCAAAATGAATTCAAGAGATTTGGTCACAATTTGTCTCTTTTGAGACAATGTTTTAAAATCCCAATAAACGGCTTCACAAATAGAGTTGTCCTGAAATCGTCTCAATTCAGACTTTTGGCCCCAAAAGTCCTTAAAGTCTGTCGCTTCGGAAGTGTCGGCCGGCGGACCTCTTTCTATATTATTATAAGCGTATTCTTCATTCACAATAAGACCAAACATGAGGAACGGGACGTCGTTTGGATGGGGAGGCAACTGATCCAATGCCCACTCCTTATTGTTGTAAAACTTGGACTTGTGTTGTAATAGAAGTATACGTTGGCCAACAGCTCGTCGACAGAGTGGTATCAAATGGCCCACAAATGCGGTGACAATATCACCGCAATTATCTGTTATGTCATTTGACATTTGAGATACTTTTGGTGACTTCAGCAGCGATGGGACGCAAATCCTTTAGAAATTCACAATTAATCAAAGGATAGATAAATGGGTAAAAATACTGACTTAAAGAGAATATCGTATTTGGTCTCAAAAGTGACTTCTCTCAAGAATGTCGATTCAAAGCTATTCGAGTGATTGGAATCCAAGCAATCGATGGTTAACTTCGACTCGTGTCTCAACCGGTCGTACGAATCAATGGTGACGTCCCAACAGATGTTGTGATAACCGGTGACGTCGATCAACACAACCGGGAAGTAAGTTAAGTGATAATCGAGCGGTTGATACAAGTCTTCGGTCAATGAAATGCCTTCTGAGTCCCACTTAGAGGTGGCTTTAAGTTAGGATTAAATGAAACAATATTCACAAATTGAGTCACAAATACATATTAAATCAAATCAATTAAAACTTACAAATCGATAGCAAAGTATTGCGAAATATTTGATAATAACTAGAATTAGCACTTATTTTACGGCTCTTCAGGAGATGGCAAACAAATAGAGACAAACAAAAGCCAAACTCCGACTTCAGTGCTCTCTGTTTGAGCCATACCTTCATGAGAATCAAACAGTCCTTCAGATGCGGCCACTGTTTGACGGTTTCGGACACAAACTCAT